TCAGGCCGCAGTTGGAGTACTGCGTCCAGTTCTCGGCGCCGCACTTCAAGAGGGATGTGGACAGCATGGAGAGGGTCCAGAGGAGGGCCACTCGCATAATCAGGGGACAGCAGGGCAGGCCCTATGAGGAGAGGCTATGGGACCTGAACCTGTTCAGCCTCCAAAAGAGAAGGCTGAGGGGGGATCTTGTGGCCTGTTATAAACTCGTCAGGGGGGTTCAGCAGGCATTGGGGGAGTCACTGTTCCCCCGAGCACCGCCAGGAGTGACCAGGAACAATGGTCACAAGCTGGCAGAGGGTAGGTTTAAGTTAGACATCAGGAGGCGCTGTTTCACTGTCAGGGTGGCTAGGGTCTGGAACCAACTTCCAAGAGAGGTGGTGCTGGCTCCTACCCTGGGGGTTTTTAAGAGGAGGTTAGATGAACACCTTGCTGGGGTCGTTTGACCCCAGTACTCTTTCCTGCCATGGCAGGGGGTCGGACTAGATGATCTGCTCGGGTCTCTTCCGACCCTAGAAACTATGAAACTATGAAAAGTCCTTTTTTGTTCCTTGCCTCCAGGAGATTGCAGCCATGATAGCCACCGAGTTTGCTAAGCAAACTTCGCTGGATGCTGTAGCTCAGGCTGTGGTGGACCGGGTGAAACGGATCCATTGCGACACCTTTGCTAGCGGTGGGGAGCGATCCAAGTTCTGCCCCCGGCATGAGGATATGACTCTGCTGGTGAGGAACTTTGGGCACCCACTGGGTGAGATGAGCCAGCCCACACTGACGCCAACACAAGGTAAGGACCAGTAAAAAAAAAAAAAAAACCCGGGACAAAGATGGTGGGTGGAGGATAAGACCTGTCCTTTCATCCAGTGCCAACCTGATGTCAGGAGAAGAAACCTTCAGTGCAGAGACTGTTCTCTATGGGAAATGTCTCCTTCCCAGAATAATTTAGCATGGTCTGGAAAGCATTAGATAAAGCACCCCTCTTTTACAGGCATATGGGATATTAATGGGTCAAAACATTCCTGTACCACTGAGGCTTTTCATGACACTCGTCCATCCCTTGTTATTTTCTGCTTCTCAGGAGGCCGCATCTACCCTGTTTCTGTGCCATACTCCAGCGCCCAGAGCACGAGCAAGACCAGCGTGACACTGTCCCTTGTCATGCCTTCTCAAGGCCAGATGGTCAATGGTGCCCACAGTAGCTCCACTCTGGATGAAGCCACCCCAACTCTTACAAAGTAAATGCTGTTAAAAGCTGTGTCATCTTTAAATACCAATTGTTGCCCCCAGCTCTCTGCCCTCCTGCAGTTTGGGTGCAGCCCAGGGAAGCAATCTGTCTGTTACCTGCTGTACTATTCTTTTACCCAAAGGTGTGGCCTTTCTAACGGCAACATTGCATCCTATCCATGGTTGTCTGAGATGTATCATTTGAGGAGAATCATGCTGGATGTGGGAATGAACTGAGCAAACATTTCTGGAGCATGCTGTGGGAACATGCTTCAGGGAATCAGCAGGGGGCACTCGGGTATTAGACAGCACTTCCTTTTGCTAGCAATGATTTTATAGGCTGAGGTGAATGCTGACCTGCTGTTCCAGCTGATTCATTTAATAAGGGGCTAGGGCTGTGTTACCCTGCTGTTAAAGGAGCTGGGGCTGGGTATATTTTCCTGGTGTGGAAAGGTTTTCAGATGGTGCTAGGAGAGTGAAACAAGGGTTGGGTTTCAAGCACATTGGGAAGGAGTCTCTAACCTGCAGGAATATACTGTTAACTTTGATTTCAGTTCAACCTTTGTCATAGCAAGATTTGTATGTGTCCTGCCATGCCAAGCTACCAGCTTAGTTACCATGTCTCTATTGCTTCAAAAACAATGGAGCTCACCCACCCAAGTTGCTCAGGGCTACATTGCAAGTAATATGCACTTCATACTGTTGGACTTCTCCTAAAGGGTCTAAAATATCTTGGGGCAAGGAGGGAGTTCTGCAGTTTCCCTAAGATTTTCCCTTGTAATGCATCCCTGGGAGGCACCATGCATGAGGCCAGCCCAGCCAAAGATAGCGTAGTAGACTTCGGTGCCTGTGACACTTGGAGCACTTTTGAATATGTCTGATATTCCTGGGGAGAATGAGGAACCTCAGCTGCATGTGCCTGTTGACTAAAGGGAAAGTGGGTTTGATACAGTTAAGAGGCTGGCACCTCTTTTATTGGCCCAAGGCATCAACCAGTAACATGAATGTATTTGTGCTCTTTCTCAGTCAGAGCCCAACTGTGACTCTCCAGTCCACCAATACCCATACTCAGAGCAGCAGCTCAAGTTCAGATGGGGGCCTCTTCCGTTCCCGTCCCACCCATTCCCTCCAGCCTGATGAAGATGGACGTGTAGAGCCCTATGTGGACTTTGCAGAGTTCTACCGGCTTTGGAACATGGACCATGGTGAACAGGGAGTACTCACGGTGTCATAATGTGGGGAGAAGAAGGGAGAGGCATCCTGCAACCACAGTGAGCTCAACAGAGACAAACAGGCAAAGACTAGGGTGAGGTTGAAATAGGTCCAGGTGGTAGCCATGTTCTGCCGTGGATTCAGCCCTGGTTCAGGATGCGATGAGCCCAGGGGTGGGGTGCTGGTGTAGCTGTCTCAACACACGTGTTGCCTATGTCCTTCATCTTCTCCTTATCCACCTCTTTTCCTGGGAAATGTGGATATGGGAAGGGGTCATGAATCCTAACCCTCATCATGAATATTATGGACATAAGTAGTGAGGGCTGTGTTAGGGAGAGGGCAAGAGCAGGTGTCTGTACAATATGCATATAAGCTCTTCTTATGGACTGAGGTGCGAAAAACTATGCTGTGATACCGGTGTTTAACCCCATAGAAGATACCTCTGTTTTGCAGAATAAATAACTTATAACTGCTGTCATTCTCACCTGCATGGCTCTGTTTTTCTGTTTAAAGGGAATTTTTAGTGCTAGTGGAAGGAAGCTGCTGGTGGAACAGCCTTAGAGACTGCCACCTTCTTTTTCCACAGCACAGATAGAGCACAGTCAGTAGCTTGTAAACTTCTGCCTGTAAAAGTGGCTGTGACCTTTTTGGAAGAGGACCTTACTTTTGTAAGAAAGGGGGACTTTTAGTTGCCTGTGGTACTTCAACTTTCTGCAGTGAGGGCCTTGGATGGTGCTTGACCAATACTGCTGACTGTGATATGGACACTTCCACTAGGAAGCAAGACTTGTAGTTTATTTTAAATGGACCACAAACAAGTTATTGGAAGCGAATGACCTTTAGTCAATTTTGATCTAAGATACACTGATAGCCTCAAAGGCTCTTTAACGTCCTCTTGCAGTCCCTGTCCCTCCTATCTTGCAGTTTATGACTTTTTCAGGATCTAGATTTAGATTTTAGCAGAGAAGGTCTAGTCCATAGGCTACATGACATTCCCCACACACACCTGCAGATTCATAAATCAGAGAACCACAGTCCCAGAAGGCAAATGGCACAATGAATTGAACTAGTGTCTCCCAAACACTATGGTTTTTATGGCTATGGTGAGTGGTCTACAGATCATTCCAGGTCCCTCCCCTTTTCAGCTCACTTTAATGATAAGGGCATAGGGTGATCTATGAGAAGTCTGGAGGACTGGCATTATCAACCCAAAAATTCTGAGGCCCGCTGACTGGTTAATGTTGGTGCTTTAATGAAGGGAGACACATGACCTTTTCACTTCTTAGGAGACTTTTCTTTCATACGACCCCCAAAGCATACTTTTCAGGATTTGTTTCTTTTAAGTTGTGCCCCAGAAATCTTGCAGTATATGTTTAGGCACAGTTTAGCAGAACAAGTTGTTGATGACAAACAGTAGGAGGGGCTGCAGGTCGGGTAAATACAAGTTGATAGCATAAGACTTTTTTGTGGCTTCCTAGTAAATTTCCATATGCTGACAGTTAAAGTGTGTATTACCCTATTGTTCCAGCTATAAGTAGAACCTGCATATATGGTAAGTGGGACCCACATTTTCTGGTTCAGTTTTGGGGGAAATTTTTGTTTCTTCCAAATGTAAGCCAGGAATGACACGTACAAAGTCCTTGAACTGTTGTTGCCCTTACAAAATCCCACAGGGGAATTGTATAACTAAGGAAAGGATCCAAAGTGTCAAATGGACTCAAAATACTCAAATAAAAATAATGTTGCCCTAGCCTCACATAAAATCCCACATCAGGATATTTCAAGACAAATAGCATTAGGCAAATGAAAACTGTTTACAACTTCAAACAAGGACAGGCCTTTATTAAAAGTGAGATTTGAATTGCTATTGTGCATTCAAACTTTGTTCACCTGTTGAGCCAAAATCATGGATCCAGACAGCTCTGGATTTAGTAGTTCAAAGTCCAGACTTTTCCCAACTAGGGAAGGAGACAATGGGTGTTTATTTTCAGACCATTAACTGCAGGTGTCAGCTCAGATTTGACTCTTCTTAGGTGCTTGAGAAAAGTACATTCAGCTAATGTGCATTTTGGAAGAATGCAACGCATTGTCTTCTTTGTTTTACCTTGGACGTTTTTTAATTTAGGGCTAGAAATTTTCAGGATCATTGGTTTTTTCTAAGTAGTTAAATACCGAGTCTATTGTTTAATAAAGCAAAACCACACATGCATTTAAAACCTATTTTCATTTTTTTTAAATAGTCTTCTGAAGTGTATCCAACTCTGCATGGCTTCCTGTCAGCTCCCCTTTGGGGATGTCTCTTGGTTCTGTGGCTCTAGTGGTGTCCTGCCTCAGGGCTAGAAAGCCTCAAATTAAACAAGTTCATCAGGCTTCTGATCCTCCCACTTCTTGATGAAAGTTTAATGCCTGTTTCCTGTCTCAGTGCAGGTCTCTGGTAACTGGAAGTTGGTGGCAGTCTGGGTTCCCCAGCCATTGAGGTGTGAGCTGAGCCTGTCATCTGACTACCACTGCGATGACTGGAACATGGCCCTGCACACTGCCCTTATGAGCCAGCCCATGTGACGCTTAAGGGTGCTATGCAGGGTTTTCTGCATCGCTATATTCATATGGGATGCAGGTAATACGTTGGCCCCGTGTATAAATCAACTGTGATTTATTTATTTTCTTTTTGGGGAGGGGTACAACAGGGAGGAGGAAGACAGGTCGATTTATACCCAGAACAGTGTGGTAGTTGCAGAATGGAGTTAAGCAGAGGGAAAGGAGCTGCAGACATGGGGCCAGAGGTAGGATGTGGTTAACAGTAGAATGCACTCAGCTAAACCAGGCAGCAGAACATAAAGGGCAGCTGACAACCTTATTGGATGCAGTTAGTAGTTCAATAAGATCTGCTGGTGCTGGGAAATATGGAAGGATCTTTTCCTGGTTGCTGGGGTCTGCTGCAGCCACCTACCATCCTCCTAGGGCAGCTCCAGGAGGCTGCCTGGGTCTGTTTCTTTAGCTCAGCATTCTCTGGTGGCTCAGTGGGAAATTAGAAATGGCAACAGAAGGAGAAGGAAGATGACATGGAAGGTGTGGGTATCCAGAAACACAGATAAGAAATGTAACCTGCCTGCTCATTTCAGCCCCACAGGCACCACGTATCAGACATGAGGCAATGTAGCCACCTTTAGAGCACCCTTGGGTGGGCATCAGTAGGTGCACGCAGGGCCATCCATATGCAACTGCATGGCCTCATTTCTGGGATTTGGTGTGTAGATCAGGAACAGGCTGGGTGTGCTTTCCCATGGTGTGCCTGTGCCAAGCCTGACAGGAGATGATGGAAACAAGCCCTAAAGGCCTGGATAGCTTGAATATTGGAGCTAGCTTCATACTTAAACTGCAGTACCAGACAGTAGGCATGGATCTACATTTGGTTCAAAGCCAGCTAGGGTGGGCAGGGCTAGGGCTTAGCAGGGTGTGTTGCAGGCAGGACTGATGTGCATGAGCACAGAAAGGGAAGAGAGGGTTGTGAGTAGGGGAAGGATGAAACAGCAGTGAGTGCTGCAGGGCAAGACCCCAGAGCATACCAATAAGTGTGTAGGCAGGACCAAAGTAGCAAGGATTGCTGCACTTGCTCTGAGAAGTGCCAGAGAAACATCGGAACGCTTATGGGTGGTTGCCCATATGAACTAATTGCAGATGCTGTTGGCTTGGCCTTACCTCTCTTGGATTAGTGCTGACTGCGTGTGATTGCTTAATTCCTTGATAAAGTATTGTAGAAAAGTTCAGTTCTTTGCTGTCTTGGATTCTTGGGAAGACTGGAGGTGCTGGGTGTGTTTGAGCATGCTGGGACAGGCACCCTTTGTTAAATCTTGCAGACAAGGAAGCAGCTCACAGAAGGTTTCTTTTAAAAAGGAACAGAGCAATGTGACGACCAGAAAGACTTAGTCTTTTGCCTAGACTAGGCCAGGGTTGGAAGTCACCTCCACACTGCAGTATAAGTTTTTCCCCTATGCTGCCCTTTGTTCACTGACGAACCATCTCTTCAGGAAGTGGGGAATTCAGGTTCTGCGAGGCATTCAGTCCCCAGTGGTCCACTTTCTTGTTTGATGTGAAAGTCCTCACTTAATTTTCTGCAGGCTGTTGAGCAGCTCTGAGGTGGGAATGGCCAGTTCCTCCTTACATAGGCTGAATTGTTGCCATTATATTCATTAATGCGATACATTGGTGAGGGTCTCTTGTCCTGCCCTCCCATGTGTCTTTATGACTGTGCAAACAGGTCTTCCTTGCTTACTCCCCACTGCCTTGGCCATGCCATTAGCTAAGTTGTACTGAGATCAGTTTCAATAAGAAATGGTCCAGAGAACTAATCCAGAGAAATGTTTCTAGGAATTGCCAAATATACTCACATAAAGCCGATCAACATGAACAAACTCATTTTTTGACATTGTTACAAGGAACAAAGTGGCCAGAAGGATCTGGATTGTAGTAATGTATCTACTGGTATATGGTAGTGTCAGAAAAGAAGAAAAATAGGCCTCCAGAAAATACTGTAGCAGGGTTTACAAATCTAACTGATGGCAAGTCTCTAATAGGAGATGTGTAAATGGGGAGTGGTAGAAAGCAAGCTATTATAGACTACCAATTAATATCTTCATGAGTGAACAACAAAAAGATACAGAGTAAGTCATAATTCTCCCTCAAAAATAAAACACAACACAGCTAGCCAATAGAAGAGGACAGAACCAAACCCAAACGCAATCTGGAAAAATTAGAAAAGTCTGTGCAATAAAATGAATTTCAACACCATTGAAAACTGTGAAGTCCCAGGGAGGAGCAGAGAAAGCAAACAGGGCAGTGGTACAGCAGGAGCTTTCTTGAGAAGACTTTGTAAATTTAAATTTTGAATATGCAATGCAATTCTTGAAGAAATAGGTGACTTGTCTTTGTGAATGATCCCATGTAAATCAGGTAGGTAAGAATGAACAGTCCTGTGCCAAGGCTTGGAACTGTGAGTGCTATTTTGGTCTCAAGGGCAACCAAGTTGTGTAAGAGTCAGTGGGAGAGAAGGCTCGAAGTAGACACGGTCTAACACTGCTGGGGAGAGTAATGTAACTGTAGCCTGACAAGCTTAAAGGCAACAATATAAATTGAGAGAGTGGAGTGTTTTCACTCCTGTGTGTAGATAGAATGATGAAAAACCGTCCAAGCAAAAGCACTAGTTAGAGTCTTAGGCAGAGCTGAGGATGACTCAGAGATTTTGGATGCACTTTATGCCTCTTCAGAACTTAGCTTCAGATGGCCTGTATGAGCCTGTCTCTGCCAAACTTGCATAGGGAGATGACTTCTCTATAGCACCTAGGTGCAAGCCAGGCTGCGTGCAAAGGCGCACAACCTTTGCTTAACTCCTGAGCCACCTATTACCGCCATTACTGCAAAATGAAGACTTGAACTCACACTGCAAAAGGGCAGAGGCAGAGAGGTTTCTTTTGGATCTGCCAA